TCTCTGTATTTGTATGTACATATGTAAGAATACATGACTATACATATGTACACACAGAAATACATCTATGGCCATACACATAGCTATAGATATGTCATATATAATCTCCTCAGAAAGATCTGAAATTAAAAAAAAAAAACAAAGTTGTAAACAGGGTCTTGTTTCTGTCATTTGGTGACATGGAACTAGGACCATATGATGACATTCCAGGAAGGGGTGTCCAGGTGTCCAAATACCCTTATTAGCCCAGTGTCTGTAAAATTCACATGGGATAGAATGCAAAAAAGGTAGCAAACAGGCTGAAAAACAGGTCTAGTATACAAGTTCCCCTTGGTTTTAAAAACTTCAGAATGTAAGTGCCCATGGCGTGCATGCTTGCATGGTCAGGAACGGTCAGTGGGTGGGTAGCAGTTGTGTGCTGGACTGCAACGTGATCCCCCAGGCAGTCCTTCAGGGTGCTGAGCCCCTGCTGCGGCCAGTGTCTGCGACATGCACTGCGGGTGCATTTTAGTCATTCACTTGGCGTGCTTCTGCGCAGCCAGGAGAAGGAGACAGCATTCAGGTCCTTGGCCTGGAAATGAACTATGGCCTGGAAAAGAAAAGATGGCATTAAATCCCTATGTGCGCGTGGTGGCTTAAAGGACATGACGTACCATGGTTTGTACTTACCATCAATCAAGGGCATTCAAAGATTTTGTAACCCAAAACTGAGTCAGGTTTGGTATACACATTACTGTGCCTGATTTACAGATGAACAGACTGAGTCCGACAGGCAGTCTGAAGCATGGTGACATCCTGCCAACTGTTGGGGGAACAGAGACAGACACTCTGTGTTCAAGCAAAAATTAGAAATGACCTCTTTGGGGAGAAAGCAGCCCCACCATGATGAGGCCAGAAGAAACTCCTGACTGGTTACTGGCCCTGCAGCCCAGAACAGCCCTGAGGGGTGGGTAAAGCCCTGGCTGCACCTCGGTCTCTAGCCTCTGGGCCTCCTGGGAGCAATTCTCTTCACTAATATCTGCCTCCTCCCCCAACCAGCACCACTGGGATGCTGACCTTCCTCCTCTGAAGGCTGACCAGAGTCAGAGAAGAGGCGATCAGAATGGGTGCAGGGGCCAGGGACTTGGAGCCAAATATAGAATCCCAGAAAGTTAAAGCCACGTAGGCTCTCAAAGCATTGTCCAACTCCTTTCCTTTTACAAGTGTGGAGATGGAATCCACAAGAATGCTTCACCCCAGGTCAGAGAGAATGGGAAAGCCAGGTCTAGAAGCTGTTGTACTAAAACACAATGCTTAACAATACAAATCTTGTATAGTATTCTACAGCACTGTATTGTTTCCTACGTGTCTCACATACATGGCCTTAGGTGAGCTGCATATTAGTTCCACCAAATAAACAGCTTCAGAAAAATGAACTAATTTACCCAAAGTCACAGAGCCAAATGGCAGATTTGGGACCCAGCAAAATTACATGGTTGTAAAACATTTTTCACCTTTAGTAAAGCCAAGGCCTATTATGGAATTGAGGGCAGGTCAGTGTTCAACATCCACATACCATTCACTAGTCTCCCTGTGTGCCGGGGCTGTGTTTGATTTTCTTTCAAGTCCACTCTCATATCCAACTCATAACAACCTTCTGGAATCTTCATACAGATTTGGGTTGATACAACTTCACTAATTTAACAAACATCTCTGCAGATATCTGTAACATCTTAACCTATGCGAAAAGTGAAAAACACACTTCCTTTTCTGTATATCTCATTTTTCTTTGGGGGCCATATATTTGAAAATGCTTTCAAAGTTAGTCTAAAGAAAACTGGTGTGAAAAATGAAGGGTGAGGAAAACAAGAATGCTCTAATATTAGATTCACAGGGTTCCAAAACTCAGAGCTCCTCTAATCACTGAAGAAACTGAGGCCCAGAGAAGTTAAAGGACTTGTCCAAGGACACATAGGTAGTAACTGACCTGCCAGAGAGAAGGTTTCAGAAGAACTTTCTGGGAAGGCATGTGGGAAAACTATGCAACTTTCTACAACATTCTTAGCTTTAATCCACCCAATGTTTATTAGCTGAATGTGCATTTAATGGGCATCATGTGCTTATCATTGTGCTAACTAGTCAGAGAAATAAAATTATAATCCATAAAGACTTTCCCAATGATGCTTACTGTTGTGCTGGAAAACCTGATAAATCTTTGAAAATCATAAATTGCCAGCACAGATCAGCACATGTGGATCTGATGCACTAACCAGAGAGGTTTGTAAGGAGTGAGTCTCAATGGGCTGCTGGGTTTAAGGAAAACTTCTTAGAGGGTGTGGAGTGACATAGACTAGCCTGGGAGGAAGTAATACATGGGTGATGAAGGGAAGGCCGTTTTGGGTAATATGAAAAGGCCGCTTTACCCAGAAAGAAAGGGCATGTTGCCTTGGGAATATTAAAGAGAATAACCAGGCTGGAGTAGAAGGGAGAAGAAAGCGTGTCAGGCAACACCTGTCGTCTCATCAAGACCTTGACTGCCAGGCTTGAGGGTAACATGGGGGCAGAGTTGCAGGAATTGTGCACGAAGGGAAGATGAAGTCAAATGTGTAACTAAAGTAAGAAACAAGTTGGTTTCTTCTTAGGAGTTTATTTTGACCCCTGTCCGAACAGCAGCAAGCCTGGACTCGGGGAGCTCAAAGCGCCCCTCCCAACGAGGAGCGGCTCCAGCCCGTGAGCGCGCGTCTCGCCCACCTGGTCACGGCCACTCGTTATGGTGCGCTCGCCCGTTTTTCTTCCTCTCCTTCCGCTCCTTCTGGAGACGCTCCAGTTCTGCTTCATACATCATCTCCTGAATCAAGTACTTCTCTCTCCTCATTCGATCCCTTAGATCTTTGGGGAGGTCTGGGATCAGATATGAAATGAGGTGCTTTATACAAAACACGAGGTGCTAAAAACACAGAAGAGAATTCGAGAGAGTCAGGTCTGGTGTCCTTCCTTAGCTGGAAAGGGCTCTGGGAGTTGGCTCAGGAGCTCTTCTTGTTCAGGGACGTGGAGAGCTTCTGGAGGGTCTGGAAAGTGGGGTGGGACCAGGGGAGGTGTGCAGGAGGCAAGAAGATCAGGGGGATGCCTAGCGACTGTACTTGGGCTGATGGTGCCACGTGGGGAGTAAGGAGTCTGGAGAAATGCAGAATTAAGAGAGCCAGAAAAAGGTGTACTATGGAATCCAAGCCCGGGTTTGAGTCTCAGCTCTGCAGCCCTTCCTACGTAAGAGCTGCCTGTCTCCCTGAGGCTAAGTCACTTTTCTTTCTCTTGTGGTAAGCTGCCACGCGTTCTTTCTCTGAAATACGCAATAGGTGGAACTCCAGATTACTGTCATTTCTGTTCATTGAGATGATGGTGACCAAGAAAGTACTAGATGACAATTAAAGGTCCTAATAATTCTAAAGTATTAAATAGTAATCATGTTTACTTGATACCATTAGGTATTCTTAATTTCATTTAAAACTTGGTAAAACTGGTGACTCGTGGATGGCCTATCAGTTTATACTAGATCCTGCCAAATAAGAGGAAATTCTGCATATTTCTAGTACTTTAAAATAGTTTGATAACAATATATTGAAAAGAAATAGAAAGTTCTACTTGATAAGCCAAGTCATAAATTAATACAACCATGATTTTATTTTGTCTGAAAAATTGTAAGTCAGTGGTGAGGTAAAATAGCTTCTTTCAAGAGGGAATTTAATAAGCTAATTCCCAAGGAAGAGCAGCTTAGTATTGTCTTCTCTTGATTCCCTGGAGTGAGGGAAAAAACAGTGGTGGAATTGTTTTTGAAGTGGTATGGGAAACTTCTAGTGTAAGGCAGAAGGCAGCTTTGGTTTTCAGTAATCTGGCTTTAATATATGTGACAGGAGAAAAATTATGATTTATAAGTATAGTCACATAAATACAAACTATTTTTAGGAACAATTTTCTTAACATAGATGAGGTATTTTTACTGCCACATAAGCAATTGCTAGGTAAATTATACTTTATAAATCCACTTTGAGTCTTAGATAATGAATACCTCTTTGTGTGCTTGAATGTAAGTAATGATATGATGATGCATAACCAGAGACTACCACTTATAATACCAAGTTCAATGTTTTCCAAGCCATAGTCCTTGAACACCTGCTTCAGAATCATCTTGGAGGGCTTATGAAAAGCAAATTGCAGACAGGAAGTTACCAGAATTGCTGGGGATGGACAAACTAGTTTTCCCAAAGTTAAAGAACCATGGCCCTAGAATATTAAATTTAGGACTAATGGTTCCCAACTTCTCTAGTAACAATCAACAGTAGTTGTTCAAATAGTCCTAGGAAAATTTGAGTACTTTAAGGAGAAGAAAACAAAAGAGGTTAATAATACTACTATTCTACTTGTGGACACAGAAATCACACTCTAAAAGTTCTCATAACCATGAATGTTAGTTACTTCATTATGGCAAAGGAAATTAAAGATTGGTTGAGAGACCTTACCTCAAACACAATGATAAAAGCCAGTCGAGCTGCGAGGACATGCCAGAACTGCAGTGTGTAGCCGTAGGGCACCAGTGAATGAGGGGGGTCACGGTAGTCGCGGTATCTATAAATATACAGGAGAATGTCACCTCTTAAACAATGTTTTTCCTGACTCCCAAATCTCTCTCATATCCATTATGTAGTCCTCATTCATGGTAGACAGTTTAAAAAAAGCTTATCCTAGACTAACTTGTCCAGCATTTCTTCTGGTAAAAGAATCTCTTCTCCTCTGGGGAATTAACCATGTGGGTTGGGCAGGGCTCACCCGCTCCCCTGAGCCCAGCTCAATGGATGAGCCAGACCTGGTGGGTGAGACTGCTCACAAGGACTTCTGCTGGAAAGATCACTTCGTGAATCATCACTAAGCCCACAGAAGGTAGAATCTTGGAGCAGCCGGGGGCCTCCATCACTAACTGGCGAGAGAGCCTGCTGGAGAATGAAGTCAATGGAACAAAGCAGAGCCAGCAGAGAGGCTGTGTCTTAGGATCTAGCCATTGCTAATATTAGTATCACTCCTCCAGCCTTCCAATTTCCTGGGTCAATTTCAAGTCAGTTTGTACTGAGGTTCTGCCACTAAAGAGTCCTTTCCAATGTATGATGCAACTATAACTTTACAGTTCATTAAAGAGTTTTTATATTTAAAAAAATGAATGTCCCATACATTCTTTTTAAGATTTAGGAAACACTGATACTCCCGGATATGATGAGTTGGCAGCATCCTAGGTCATTTCTATATGGGGGTCCTGCTGAGAGAACATGCATCTATTTGTTCAGCCCATGCATAATATACACCCACCTGTGACTCTATCACAGAGCAAACCTGTGCCCCGAGGAATGCAGTGTGCCTGTACTATACAGGCACTTAGTTTCTGAGAACAAGAACCAGAAGTTACAAAATTCTTAAGTCTAATTTTTTAGAAGCACAGATTTCTGGCCTTCCTACTCTCTTAAGTCATTGGACCTAAAGGCAAGTTTCTCTCTAGAAAATTCCTTATTGCTACCCTAAGGGAATTAAAGAGTTCAACTGTCCTCTGCTTTGCTGCCTGTAGCTGTCTCCAGAATTAAGTGCTGGAAAGCATACTGGAGCCACATGCAGGGTTTGTCTGACTACTCTTGGGGGGGTCCGTGAAGCCTCTTTGGACATCAGTTTTCCCTTATCAATAAAGTGAGGGCTGCTTTATCTCACCCTGCTCTGCAATTTTGAGCTTTCACTCTTTCCTTTTGTAGTCTGTACACGATTGTTCCAAGTGGAGCTCTCAGTCCATGCCCCAGCCTATTCCTGATCCCACTGGCCTCTTCTGTGAGGCTGAGGTTTGCGGGAGGGCCATGCTCAGACGGCATTTGGGTTCCGTGTCTCTGTTTTTGATGCAGTGCCACTTTTTTGCAGCATGACTGTCTTCATGTTCTCTGGCCCCTGCACAAAGAAAGCACTTCCCCGTGGTGCTGAAGTAGCCAGGAAGCCAAGCTTCAATGCTAATTAAATCAAAGTTTTACTCCTGTAATCTTCTTCTAGTTCCTTTCAAGATAAGAAGTAGTCTGGTGGCATTAATATTTGGAGGAATTTTAAAAAAATAAGTCACAGTTGTTTTCAGAGATATCTTGGCTTCAATTTTACATGAAAGAAAGGTGGGAAGTTCCCTTCTGACTTAGGCAACTGTGTTTTCTAAAACTGGTTTTATTTCTCAGGAACTGGAGGATTGACTTGAAAATACTTTTTGTTTTACCAGGTATAGTTCATTCACTCCCAGTTTTTAAACTATGATAATAAAAATATATGTACATTAGAAAGAATAACCCTCATGTAGCTCCCATCCAACTTAAGACATGGTTGGTGGCTTAGAAATGCCTCACTGGCAATCCTAGATGCCCGAACAGGTAACTGCTATTGTAATTTCCTGCTTTCTTTATAGTTATAACTTACACAAGTGTTCCTAAATAAAACAATGCTTAGTTTTTGTCTGCTCTGAACTCTGTGAAAATGGAATCATGTTGTATGTCTCATTTTGTGATTACATCTTTATTATACACTTTATTTTGGAGTTCTCAGCTCTACTCCATTCACGTGTTCCTGTATACCGCACTGATTGATTACTATAATGTTACACTGTGTCTAATGTGAGGTAAATTTCCACCTTGTTATTTTTCTTACAAGTGTCTTGGCTAGTTTCATTCTAAGCAGTTCTGTATTACCTTAGTGTGCCCTCAGGTGCACAAAATTGGCCAACCCATAATTCTCAATTTTTATAAGTGACCTTATAAAAGGCTTTTCTTTTTCATTATTAACACTACTAAGATTCACATGCTGTTGCATGTACCTAATTAATTTCTGTAAAATAAACCCTAGTATGAATATATTGCTGCTGTTTTATGTAAGGTATGTTTAGATTTATACTCATAGGCTGGCCATATTTCTGTTTTCTTTCAACTTTCCTAACCATGTAAAATCTTGAATAGCAAAGTTCAAGTCTTCCTACTTCAGCAAATGCCCTTTGGATAAAAGACGGTTGCAATTTTTTGTGTACTACTCAGGGTTCTGCCTTTATTAAAAAGCATTTTTTTTTCTTGTGATGAGTATTTTTAAGATCTCTACTCTTGGCAACTTTCAAATATGCAACTCAGTATTAACTGTAGTCACCATGTTGTGCATTACATTCGCAGGGCTTACTTATTTTAGAACTGGAAATTTGTACATTTTGTCTACCTCCAATGCTACCACCAGCCTTTGGCAACCACTGGTCTGTTCTGTGAATCTATGAGTTTGTTTTTTTTTTTAAATTTAAGATTCTACATGTGAAAGCATATATAGTTATCTTTCTCTGCCTGATGTATTTCACTTAGCATAATGCCCTCAAGATCTATTCATGTTGAAAATGCAGGATTTCCTTCTGTTTAATGGCTGAGCAGTATTCCACTGTGTATATATATATATATATGTATATGCCACATTTTCTTTATCTATTCATCCATTAATGGGCACTTAGGTTATGTCTCTGTTTTGACTATTGTAAATCTGTAATAAACATGAGGGTACATATGTATTTTTGAATTAGTGCTTAGGTTATGTCTCTGTTTTGACTATTGTAAATCTGTAATAAACATGAGGATACATATGTATTTTTGAATTAGTGCTTTTGTTTCCTTCAGATAAATACCCACAAGTGGAATTGCTATATCACATGGTAATTCTATTTTTAATTTTTTGAGGATCCTCCATACTATTTCTGTAGTACTAATTTACATTCCTACCAACAATGCATGAGGGTCTCCTTTCCTCCACATCCTTTTTAACACTATTTCTTGTCTCTTTTTTTAAAGTAATAGCCATGGTAACCAGTGTGGGATGGTATCTTACTGTGGTTTTCATTCACATTTCCCTGGTAAGTGATGAGCATCCCTTCATGCACTTGTTGGCCATCTGTATGTCTTCTTTGGGAAAAAGTATATATTCAGTTCATCTGCCCATTTTTTAAAATTAGATTGCTTTTGGCTATTGAATGAATTTTTAAAATACATTTTGGATATTAACCACTTATCAGATACATGATTTGCAAATATATTCTCTCATTCAGTAGGTTGCCTTTGCATTTTGTTGATGGTGTCATTTGCTGTGCAAAAGCTTTTTAATGTGATGTAGTCCCACTTGTAGATTTTTTGCTTTTGGTGTTAGATTTAGGAAATTATCACCAAGACCAATGTCAAGTTGCTAACCACCTGTTTTCTTCTAGTTTAATGGTTTCAGGTCTTCTGTTCAAATCTTTATTTTGAGTTAATCTGTTTGTATGTGGTATAAGATATGGACCAGTTTCATTTTTTGCATGTGGCTATCTAGTTTTCCCACACCATTCATTGAAGAGACTGTCCTTTCCCCATCATATATTCTTGGCCCATTTATCATTAACTGACCATAGATGTGGAGGTTTATTTCTCGGCTATCTATTTAGTTCTGTTGATCTATACATCTGGTTTTATGCCAGTCTCATACTGCTTTGGTTACTATAGCTTTGGAATATACTTTGAAATCAGGGATCATGATTCCTCTATCTTTTTCTTCTTAGGATGGCTTTGGCTATTCAGGGTCTTTTGCAGTTTCATATGAATTTTAGGACTGTTTTTTCCATACCTGTGGAAATGCCATTGGTGTTTTGGTAGGGATTGCACTGAAATTATTGATTGTTTTGTGTAGTATGGACATTTGAACAATTTTATTCCAATCCATGAGCACAGTATATCTTTCTATTTATTTGTGTCTTCGATTTATTTTATCAATGTCTTTAAAGTTTTCAGTGTATAGGCCCTTTACCTCTTTGGTTAAATTTATTCCTGACTATTTTATCATTAGCATATAGAAACACAACTAATTTTTATATATTGATTTTATATCCTGCAGTTTTACTGAATTTATTAGTCCTAACAGCTTTATGGTAGAGTTTTCAGGACTTATTGTATATAGTATCATGTTATGTGCAAATAGTGATGGTTTTACTTATTGCTTTCCAATTTGGATGACTTTTATTTCTTTTTCTTGCCCAATTGCTCTAGCTAGGACTTCTAATACTCTACTCAACAAAAGTGGTGAGAGTGAGCATCTTTGTTGTGTTCCTAATGTTAGAGAAAAATCTTTCAGCTTTTTACCATTGAGTACGATATTAGCTACGGGCTTGCCATATGTGGCCTTTATTATGTTGAGGTACATGCCCTCTATACCCAATTTGTTGAGAATTTTTATCACAAATAGTTGTTGAATTTTGTCAAATGCATCTTCTGTATGATCATATGATTTTTATCCTTTTGTTAATATAGTATATCATGTTGATATTGTAGATGTTGAATCATCTTTGCATCTCTGGAATAAATTCCACTTGATCATGGTATGTAATCTGTATAATGTATTGTTGAAATTAGTTTGCTAATATTTTGTTGAGGATTTTGGCATTTATGTTTTTTAGGAATATTAGCCTGCACTTTCTTCTCTGTGGCATCCTTGTCTGGCTTTGGTATAATGGTAAAGAACTCACAGAATGAATCTGGAAAAGTTCCTTCCTCTTTTATTTTTAGAAGAGTTTGAAAAGGACTGGTATTAATTCTTTGAATGTTTGGCAGAGTTCACCAGTAAAGCCATCTAGTCTGAGATTTTTACTGGTTGGAAGGTTTTTGATTACGGATTCAATCTCCTCACTAATAATCAGCCTGATTTCTATTTCTTCCTGATTTCGTCTTAGTAGGTTATATGTTTCAAGGAATTTATCCATTTCTTCTAGGTGGCCCAATATGTTGGTGTATAATTATTCACAGTACTCTGTTATGATCCTTTATATTTCTGTGGTACTGATTATACACTCCTTTCATTTCTGATTGAATCCTCTCTTTCATCAATTTTATTTTTTCAGTGAACCAGCTCTTAGTTTCACTGATCTTTTTTTTTAGTCTATTTCTGGTGTGATTTTTGTTATTTCCTTTCTTCCAACTCTCCACTTCATTTGTTCCTTTTCTAATTCCTTGAGGTGTAAAATTAGGTTATTTGAGATCTTGTTTCTTAAGATAGGCATTTATCACTATAAATTTCCCTCTAATGACTATTTTTGCTGCATCCCATGTATTTGGTGTGCTGTATTATCATCCTCAAATGTCTTAAGTACTTTTTAAATTTTTCCTCCACCCATTGGTTGTTCACTAGCATGTTCTTGTCCCCACATATTTGTGAATTTTCCTGTTTTCTTCTTGTAACTGATTTCTCATTTCATTTCATTGTGGCAAAAACAAAATGTTTGATAGGATTTCAGTCCTCTTAAATTTATTAAGATTTGTTTTGTAGTCTAACATATGATCTATCCTCAAGCTATCCCATGTACACTTGAGAAAAATGTATATTCTGATGGTTTTGGATGGAATGATCTATATGTATTTTTTAAGTCCACTGGTCTAACATTTAAGGCCAACGTTTTCTTACGGATTTTCTGACTGGAGGATCTATTCATTGATGTAAGTGATTTATTACTGTCCATTTCTGCCTCCAGGTCTGTTAATATTTGTTTTATATATTCAGGTACCCTTAGTTGGACTGATTTTTTTTTATCATTATGTGGTGATTTTTGTCTCTTATTACATTCTTTGTTTTCAAGTCTCTTTTGTGGGATTAAGTATAACTACCAGCTTTCTTTAGGTTTCCTTTTGCATGGAATGTCTTTTTTCATCCCTTCAATTTCAGTCTGTCCTTACATTTTATGTCCTTACATCTGAAGTTAGGCTCTTGTGGGTAGCATATCCACTGTCTGTGGATATTTTTATTGACTATTTGTAGATTAATTTTAATCCACTCAGCCATTGTCTTTGGATTGGAGAATTTAGTCCACTTACATTTGAAGTAGTTATCAATAGGTATATATATACCACTGCCATTTTATTAATTCTTTTCTGGCTGTACTGTTTCCTTTATCTTTTGTGTATCTACCAGTGGTTTTGTTTTGTGGTTTCTCTGAGGGTATATAACAACTTATATTTAATAGCCTATTTTAGGTTGGTAACAACTTAGGTTTGATCACATTCTAAAGTTCTGTTTTTATTCTTCCTGTTTTCATTTTTGATGTTACAGTTTACATTTATTAATCTTGCATATCCCTTAACTAATTATTGTGCTTTATTTTTACTACTTTTGTCTTTTAACCTCATACCAGCTTTAGAAGTGATTATTCCACAGCCTTTTCTATATACTTACTAGTTTTATATTTTTCTGTTGCCAGCTAGTGCCCTTTTGTTTCAGTTTAAAGAAGTCTCTGTAACATTTCTTGTAAAGCTGGTCAAATGGTGGTGAACTCCTTTAGCTTTTGTTGGACTGGAAACTTCTCTCTCCTTCACTTCTGAAAGACATTTTTGCCAGGTTGTAGACTCTTGGTTGGCAGTTTTTTTTAACCTTCAGCACATTGAATATAGCATGGAACTTCCTCCTTGCCTACAAAGTTTCTGCTGAAAAATCTATTGATGTTTTTATGCAGGGGCAAGGGAAGAGGGGTCCCCTGTATGTAAGAAGTTATTTTTCTCTCTTTGCTTCTAATATTCTCTCCTTGTCTCTAACTTTTGATAGTTTAACTATAATGTCTTGGTGAGTCTCTTCGGGTTCTACCCCCAGAGATTCTGTTTTATTTGGTCTGGGTTATAGCCTGGCCAAGAGATTTAAAAATTCTCCACTCAATTTTAATGCATATTCAAGGTTGAGAGCCACTGCTTTAAACCTTTTCAGTCAGAAAGAGCTGTCTGAGCAGAAGCTCGCCATGGCAGAGCCAGCCCTGCCTAAGGCAAGGGTGCCACACTTACCTGCAGTACTTGAGAGGTGTCCCTGAGAACTCACTGCCGTCAGACTCAGGCTCAGATCGGTTCTCAAAGTCGGAAATTCGAAACACAGACAAGCTGGCATTCACATAGCCAACCATGCACCTAAAAGAGTAAACAGATTCTATAGTTAGAACTCTGATCACTTCTTCATCCAGTTCACTAAAGGCTCTACCTCCTAGAAGTTCCTGCAGTTGTTGAGTGCTTGTGACAAGGCAGGACCAGCTAAAGGCACTTAAGTTAGGATACAATAAAAGACCCTGGGTATGTTGAATCAGGCACAAGTCATTTCTTTTGTTCTAGTCCTTTTTGTGAATAATCATCATACGGAACATCACTACCCTAATCAATGTTTCAGAGAAATAGGTAAAAGACAGTTAGCATAAATTATAAGTAAGTCACTGCTTCTTCCCTTGTTAGTACACACACATATACACATAACCACATTCCTTTGTTAATGAATATCTATACTCTCTGATGATGCCCTGAATATTACTGGTATGAATAAAATCTCCTCTCAACTTATCTCCCTTGCTGCAGCCATGCTAGACTACATTCCCTGCATGTATCATAGATGCTTTCATGCCTTTGCTCAGGTTGTCTTTTGTGCTGGAACTCCCTATTCATTTATTTATAGTTAAAATAGTGCTCATTCCTTAATGGCCAACTAGAATGGCACCCCTTCTGGGAGGATAGCTTTACCCACCAGACAGAAGGCTTGTTTCCTTCTCTCTGTGGTGCTGCTATGCTTCACAATCACCATACACCATGTATGAGAGATGGCTGCACACATGTGTCTTCTCTTTTGGACTGTAGTATTTTTTGGAGTAGAGCAGGCATTACAGGTACTTTTGCGTCCTAGAACAGTCTCATGCAGGGTAGGAGTCCAGTAAATACTTAATTTGGTTGATTTCACTGGAGGAAAATTAAAGTACCAGAGAGTCTATGAAGGTCTCAAGAATAAACCAAGAATAAGCTTCTTGAGGTCATGGCTTTCATTCTGTACTGGGAGTTGTATATTACAACACTAAAAACTTGGGCTTTGGGGTCAAACTGTAGCTCTTCTGCTGTAATCTTAGCAAGTTAACACAACTTCTTTAAGCAACAAAAGTGCCTACCTCATAGGGCCATTGTGGGGATTAAATGAAATTATGTTATGTCAAGCAAGTTATATAGTTCTTAGCCTATAGCAAGGTCTTAATAAATGTGAGTGGCTATTACTAATTCATTTTATTTATTTCTTGAACCTAGCTAGAGGTCAATAATTATTGACTGAATAAATCAGTCTTCACATTCTTTTCATTAACATGCCAGGCATGATTACCCCAAACTGCTGAACACTAAACCAAAATGATGACACATAGTTCTGAGAGCACATGGGTTCTGTATATTGTCTTGCTAAGAAATCACTGGTTTTATCATGGCCTTAAAAAAAGAAATGAACCAAGTAGAAGGACCCATTTGTTCAGTCACTTATGGTGATAGAAATGGTCAGTGGGTGCATAACATACCTTAACCCAACTGGCAGCAGGTTTTCCTTACCACTCCTTGAAAGGGTAGTTTGGGACGAGGTCTCCCTCACCTATGAACTACCTGGAACAGGACATGTAAGCAGAGTAGTGCCTTGATGATGATTATAGCTGTCATAGGAGGGAGACGGTTTTTGAAAAACACAGAATATAGCACACTCTTCTCAGGAGCTGAGCAGTGAGAAAGGAAAGGTGCTCTGGAAACTGGTAAAACAGGCCCAGCATTGAAATGCAATATTCCTGACCATCCTGCAATCTTATAAAGCAGCCCAGAGGCTTTACTGAGATTAAAACTGCCTAATGGCTGCTCTCTTTGAAAACTCCATTGAGAAAATCTGAACTTGAGTGAAATACCTGTCTCATGGACAACAGTCTACCCTCAAAGTAAAGAGGATATACCTTTGAACTATTTATTAAGCATACTCATGTAATGTCAGTCATAAATCCAAGTTGAAAATGCACCTTTAGTGGGTGTACAGTCCTTCTGTGTGCAAAGCATTACACATGGACCTAGTACATACATACATAGGAAAGAAGACTTACACAGCAGATAACTATCATTTTCATAATCAGGGAGAGATGAGAGTCTGTTAATAAAGTCTAGGCATTTCTCTAGTTCTTTTCACTATGGTAGAATCTTAACTATTGCCAATATCAATTAGTTGAGGAAGTCATCAACTCATCAGGAAATGAGATTTCCCATACCTCACTGTATAATGGCATCTGTGTATCAACTCAGTGACCTGCCTTTTACAGCAGGAAGACCACGGGCTGCAGCAGCCCCCAAGTCTACCACTCAGTTGCTGGCAGGGGATTTATATGCCCTAAGTGTGACACACCACCAGCTCCAAGGGAGACACAGGGAAGATGAGGCTGCACTGACCATTAGGGAAAGTAAGAGGAATGGAGAAAAAGGGATCAAAGGAAGGGGTTCCTTGTGAATATGAAATAGTGAAGATAATTTTCTTAAGGGGCTGGTAGATGACTTCTGGAAGCCATTCTCCAAGAAAGGAGATTCAGAAAATGTCTTATGTAAGGGTAGCATTGTTTGAATCAGGAGGCATATAGCTTCCAATGAATTTAAAACCATTTGCTACTTAATCATTTTCAATCTTTTACTATGGGGGACAAATATAAACTAGTGATTATCAATTTTAAGGGAAAAGACAGAAGTTGGAAGTTTGTAGATTCCACTTATAATAATGATAAGTGATTATAGATGATAATAAGCTAATGAGATAAGGGCAGAAGAAAGTGAACTTATGACTTGTTGCCTGAATAAAATGTCAGACATTATGAAAGAGGTACATTAGACCTACGTACAGTAAGCTTTATCCTTTTAAATAGAACTTTGCAATTGGTTATGATGTTGATTTAATTGATTGATAATTTGCATACAGTTCATTAAGATACTTGCAGTTCATTCTATGAAAATTTGAACATTGTGTCTGTAATTAAGTCTCTAACTCCTTATATCACTATTTCTATGTGAAAAATCAGCTTTGATTTATATCACTAAATCAACTATGTATTTTACAATAATCCTAAAGCCAGCATATATCCTTAGACATGGGCTGGAGTTTTGGAACATGTTCTATCTACCTAGATAGATAGAAATTAGTATTTCAGTGAGGGGTGTAGGGGGATCAAACTTGGTATTTGTGCTGTCTGGAAAAAAATTGAAATTTAACTCTGATTAACAGGACAGTTTTATAGCATTCCCATCAATTTTAGTTCATATTTTCCATCTCCTGATGTCTGGCCAGAAGCGATTTTAGTTCTCTAAGCTATTTTCTACAGGATTTGTGTAGAGATACGTTGAAAGAAGTGACTTCATTTTGCAAAGTGAACAATAGGCCCTGGTCCAGGAATCATCAGCCCAGGTAGAATGCAGTTGAAAGAAGGAATGTTTTAAGAGGAAAGATGAAAACAGCTGAAAAACTCTTGTGTACTCACTGGGTGGAGGACATTGACTCATATCATTGTGTCCCTGTCATGTTCAGATCTGGCTGAAAAATGAGAACATCTTTGCCACTATGCCACTGAAGACTTGTGTGCTGAGCATCCGTGAGGGCAGGGAGCCTGGGACTGGAATGCACAGCCAGGAATAGTGGACATGTGCTGTTACAGGGGCAAGGGCCTGTGAGCCGAGCAAGCCTGGGCATATGAGTGTAATTCGCACCCATGGAGAAGCCAGGAAAAGCTGAAGAGATGGTGAGGAGGAGCTTGAGGTAGCCTGACGTTTTGGAGAAAGGTGGTTGGTTTGGGTGGTGCACTTTTGCTTGAGGGTTAATTGAAATATGGCATCTCTACAGCTAACTTAACCCATAGTAAGCGGGACTGACTATGACTGTATCTACTACCCCAAAAGCCTATGGCATTCTAAAATTTGACAATACTGCTCTTAGATGAGTTCAATCATTTCTAAATTGGAAAAAGAAAAAATAAAAACCTGAAAAGAATAATAGAGTGGCTGGTGGGGAGGAAAGTAAGATTCATGAAGAAAAAGACACAAACATAACTACTTAAAAACAAGAAAAACAACCAATGGATTAAAAGATAAAAGGCAGATATATAAATATTCAGAGTGGCAGAAGGCTTTTAAGTCAAAGAGAAAGGTTATTTAAAAAGCCCTGGGGAGCCCAATAAAACTGAATTAAGGAGGCTATTAGATAAATCTAAATCACCATGAACATTATCTTAAATCTAATAGGCTGTCATCATTCTAAAGCATTGATTCACCTTTGACTGCACGTAAATGTTCCCACTTCATTTTTTGGTTCCCCCCAAACAGAGATGGTTTTGACCATATTTGGAGGTGGGAAAGAATTGAAATAACCATTGGGACTTAAACCCAGGGAGTTTTACTGATTAGATGAGCTAGACAACATTTATTGGCAATGGCCTTGAGGGCTCTTAGGTTCAGGATGGAGAACATCATAGGAGTTTAGACTTGCCCTTCCTGTGGGCTCCAGCAGTTACTCTGTCTTGTGCTTCTGGATTTTACTTCTCAATCTGTTTCTGATTTTCAAAGTGAGGGTAATAATGCATGTCCCACTGCCTGGGTTGTTTTAAGAATCAAGTGCAAAACATATGTGAAAAGCTTTGGTTTGTACAAAGACAAGTCTTTTAGGCTAAGTTAAGCAGAACATGTTGACAAGTTACAATTAGAAAGAAATCTGTGGGTAGTACAACCTAAGTCTAAATCTTTCTTAAAATGGGACGCTCACTTAAATTTGCCAGATAATTAGTGTTTAATGGCCACATGGTTGTTGTAGTAAAGAACTTTATGGAAGCCATTTCAACTTTCTTGTATTCAATCCATTCCTTAGAGCATTTACGTAGAATTAATAACATAATTGGACCTAGGCCAGGTGTGCATGAATTTAAGCTGACTTGATTCGGCAGCACTTTACCCCTTGGGGCTAACTGAACTAGAATGGCTATAGAGGGAGAACCAGTTGGGCTCCAACTAGTAAATCAGGAGTCAGAGCCACTGTGTGAGTCCTCAGCAGCCCACATGGATGATTTCGGGGGCACTGAAGAGACTCCACTATCCCCAAATATATCCTACTCTGACCTACAGACACCTAAGTCCCACAAATAGGATTTCATTATTTTAATACTTCTTGTTTTTTTTTCCAAGGGTGTAGAAATGAAAGCTAGGGGACACATTATAATTTTGCCTAGGCTTTTTCTGACCAGATACCCAGAAAGCCCTGACTTTGGAAATCATTGAGGTGATGCCATAGAATTAAGCTCCCAGGGTTTGCCCAATTTGCCTGCGGTAATTCAGACACTGGTAAGGCCAGTAGCTGGGAAAGAATCATCCAGTGACTTATTCCATGAGTATTTATTGAGTAAGTACTGGATACTCATCATATGGTTGCATATTTTCCATGTAGAATTTGCAGAGTCTACATATGTCAATACAAGGGGAAATAAAATTATTACTGTGCTTTTATAAACTCATGAAAATGGCATTAAGTATATATCATGTACCACTTTTTTGGCTATGCACATTTGCATATCACACATTTCTGAATTCATAGTGTGTAGGGGTCAGGGGTGAGGAAACTGATTAATGAAACTGGTCTGGCCTGTATGAACCCTTCCCTTCAGTAGATCAGAATATGTTTTCTTTGGCTGAAAGTATAATTCCACCTCCCCCACCACAGACTGGCTCACCCTGGGCTACTCCAAAGTAGAGGTTTTTGTCTGACTGTACAACATCACAGGATGGATAGGAAATAGAGATTTCTTGATAGTTTTATGGCAAACTTACTTTTGCCCAGCTTCTCCTTGGCCTGCACAAGGTCCATACTTATAAGCGTACACCAAACGAGGAATAAAGTCAGACGTTATCGCTATGACAAATGCATTCGTAATAACAGAGAGAATTCCAATGCCTTCAAGAATTCCATACCAAATTCCTATTCAGAAAGAAGTGTTATTTTAGTTCTAGATACAACAGCAAAGATAATAAGAGTGAAAACAACTGGGGTAACTGATTTTCAGTAGTCCTTTCCTTGGGTCCTTTCATCTTCCTAAATACTGACACCTGTAACCAAGATTAAGAATGCACACTTGCAAACACCTTGGCTTTGAAGGAGTTCCTGGGGAAGTGCCAATGCTTGTGATTTAATGACTCGGTGAGGAGCAGAGTCAGATCCTGGTAAGTCTGAGGGTCTTGGTCAACGATAACGTACCAAACACCATGTAATAAGATCAGCCCTCCCATTGTTAGGCCGTTGCTGGACCTGGGCTCCTGAAGGGGGCTGACATGTTTGTGGGCCCAGCCCCTAATGCACCACCCCAAGGTAGATGCTTACTGAATGTTTGTTTCACAGGAAGGTCAAAAGACCACTGTGAGCCAAGTACCTCCACATTCAGTTCTTTCCCCGTACATTGCCTGAGCACCTGCTTACTCTCTACTTAGCATTGGGTGCAGAAATAAATGAAAGTCACTCTCTGATCTCAGGCAGCTCTCAAGAGACTGCATCTGATTCAACTCAAAATCTCTCGTCAAAGAGCAAAGGTCATCTCTGCTTTTAGAAAAACTAGGTCATGCTGCATGTGACTCAGGCAAACATTTGGGGAAGGGCAAAATGAAGTTAAGCAAGTAGAAGATCTATTTTAACAAGGAAATAAGTGATAATAAATTTTTAGATTCCAAGGTCTTAAGATAGAAACAACCAAATTGAGCATCTATTTAAGAACAAATTCTGTAGCTATGGCAATTATAAATTTCCAAATAGACAGCTTTCCTTCTTGTCTAATATTATTTAAAAATAACAATTATTTTTTGCAAGAATTATTTGAGTCATCTTAGATGAAAAACATAAGTAAAAATCCAAAGTTGGTGGCTGTTTTAATTTTATACACCAGATGGTTAATATCTTTAAACAAAAATACCCAAATCCAACTTACCTATGTCTTTGGCCCTTGAAGCTAAAGGTCGCCTCCACTGCGTGACAAATTTGTAAGCGTCAAGTCGAATTTCAATTATGTTATTCAGTAAGGCCAGAAGTGGTGCTAGGGGAAAAGCTGCCACAAAGATAGTTGTGAATCCAAACTGAAGAACTAGAGAAAAGGAAGGAGAACAAAAAGTGTTATTTTTCTGTGACTGTTTTCAGCACTATAATAATATGAATGTGTCATTGTCTTAACTCATTTTTTCCCCCAATACAGAGGCACAGGGAACATCTCTTCCAGAAAGATGGCCAGGATGCTGGACAGAGAGGCACTCCTTGGGCCTAGAAGCAGTGGCATCCTAGGAGCAGTGATCAGACCTAGGATCCAGTTGTTTTCTAAATATAATAAAAGGAACCAGGGCCATGGTAGGGAAAAATGCAAGGTGAGCCTGGAATGTCTTGTGATGCCAGGTAGTCAGGAAGTGTTTGAAACATGATGGGGACACATCAACAGGACACAGGACAAACTTGAAGGAGCTCCCAGTGACTAAACCTAGAACAATTTGAACAACAAAAGAAATAATGATAGTATTGAATTACAACCCAAAAGATTAAGTATCTATCCATAGTGATATAAATAACTGAATATATAAATGGGGGAGAAGGGACAGCTCTTCCTTATGGTAGAATTCTAGTTAGTTTTTAGAAAATAATTGTACAATAGATGTAGAAGGAATAATGAAAACAGAAAATCACAGTTATTCCAACACTGCAGTGTTACCTGTTGCAGGCAAGAACTGTCAATGATGGCAAAATCCTAATTTTTCATTGAAAAATTAGGAGTTTTATATGTTCTCACACTGCTGTATTGGTTAATAATCATTATTGATACTCATCAGCTCCCTGCTCAAAATGTTTCAGTAGGTTCTTATGGCCTGTAGACTAAATCCTAAACTTTCATCATGCCATTTAAGGATCTTCCAAGCCTCATGTCCAAACATATCGTACATTCCAGACAGGATTCCTAAACAGTCCTTTACTCTGGCCACACTAGACTTCTGGTATGTTCTATTTGCTTCATGGATTTGTATGTCCAATTTCTTTCCCAGATGTGGGAAGTCCTCACCTGTTATTTCTTTAAATAAACTCTCTCCCCCTTCTTCCTGTCTTCTTCTTGCACATTATTCTTATATTAACCTTTCTGATTGAATCTGATAGCTCTTCTAGGGTTTCTTCACTTAAAAAAAATGCAACTTTTCTATCCTCTTCTAACTGAATTATTTCTATATTCTTCTTTTCCAAGTCATTTATTATTTCTTCTATGTGGTCTCCCCTGTTACCAGTGCTCTATATTGCATTTTTCCTCTCATTCATTAGTTTCTTCAGCTCCAGAATTTGTTTGCTTCTTTTTTATAATTTCAGTCTCTTTGGAAAGAACTCCTTCTGTTCTTAATTTTATTCTTAGGTTCACTGATTACCTTTCTGAATTTTCTTATAGCTCAATAAATTTCTTCATAACAGCTATTTAAAATTTTTTGTCTTAATAATATTCTGTGCCTTTGAGTTCCTTTGCTAGAGAATTATCATTTTCTTTTGCTTATATAATAGTTCCTTACTTTTTCATAGTGTTTGACAAAATATACAATATGCAGAGGCATAAAGCAAACAACATATATCAAAGAACACTGAAATAACAGAGAGCATCCTCTGACCACTGGTGAAATTAAAATAGAAATCAATGACAGGAACAGCTAACAAATCCCCAGATGTCTTGATATTAAGCAACACAATCCTAAAAAAAAAATTGTCTTCATAATGAAAATATAACATGTCAAAACTTATAGGATGCAGCCAAAGCAGTGTTACTGGAGAAAATTATAATTATAAACACTGATATTAAGGAAGAAAAGCTGTAAATCAATGATTTCAACTCCTTTCTCAAGATACTGGATACGGAAAAAAGAAAAAGCCCAAATAACATATAAGGAAGGAAATAAAGATAAGAGCAGAAATGAAATAGAAGGCAAATGTGTAACAGAACAAAACAACAAAAGCCAAAGTTGGTTTTCTGAAATGGTTAATAAATCTCTAGCAGACTTTTATAGAGAGAAAAGCACAAAGTATGGAATTATAAATGAAAAGGTGGACATCATCAGTGTAGATCTTTTATACTTTAAAAGTTAATACAAGGGTAAACAATTTCATTCCACTGAAGTTGAAAATGTAGATGAAATGAGCACATTTTTTGAAAAACAGCTAGTCAAAATGGATACTTGAAGAAATAGTTGAAACAGTACTATAACTATTAGTTAAATCTATAATAAAAAAAACCTTCTCATGAAGAAAATTCCACGCCCAGCTAAATTGACTGGTGAATTCTCCCAAATATATAAGGAAGAAATAATAGTAGTCTTACACAAACTGTTTAATAAAAAAAAAGAAAATTATCCAAATCATTTTAAAAGGCCATTATTGGTATATAAAGAGCCTGAGCATACTCCTTCCATGTACACACCAAATATACACCTATGTACAGAGCAATTCATCTCAAGGAAGAACAGAGGCCTGAGTGAACACCTTATGTATACCAAGGGATAAAAAGACCACACACACACACACACACACACATACACATACACACAATGGCAGGAGAGACAGAGACATGGTTACAGAAGCAGTTATGCCCCCAGCATGGCCCTCCAGTAGGAAGGGATATCTCTGAGCTACCTGATCAGAGACTTGATTGCCCTGAGGCATAGAAGCAAAAACTGTGAATTGGAGAGTTTAAACCCAACCATCACATGATAGGGGAACTGCTAAAACTCTCTTGGTGCTGGTTAGTGCCATTGTTTATATTCTCCCTGCACATTAATAGTGTGGACAGGAGCAGGGTCACGGTGAATACACCAACTCCAGATGTGGTGAAGGTGGACTTCTGGTCCCTGCTCACACCCAAACACACCTGTCAGAGATTCAGCAGTCTAACCAAGGTGGTATGACTAGTATGACACTCATGTGAATTCACCCTGACTGTGGCCCTTCCCTCCCTGGCCACCCTGTGTGCATGGCCTCAGCTGGGTGCTAACTCGGGAGACCCCTAGACTGTGCCACTAGCATGGCTCCAGGTGGTGCCCACCTGGCAGCTACTCAAACTGTGCATCATTGACACTGGCCACCCTTGCCAGTGTAGCCATGGTTGCTAACTACACTGGAGATCTCCAGCTCATGCCCTGGAAACACCAGCAGACACTCTGGTCCATGACCACCAAGGCTTTGACCAGCTAGCCCAAACTGCCAAGCACACACACAGTCTACACAGTGAACATTCCTACATAAGTCCATGCTTTCAAAACCAAGAGAAATATACCTTTTGCTTAACCTATTGAAGAAAACACAGAAAATCAAACAAAATCAGGAGACACAGGAATACACTTGAAACAAAAGAACATGACAGAAAAAGAACTAAACGAAACAGTTAAGCAATCTATCTGACAGAGAGTTTAAAGTAATGGTTATAAAGGTGCTATCCAGACTTGAGGGACAAGTGAATGAACTCAGTAAGAACCTCCACAAAGACATAGAAAATACATTAAAAAAAACCAATCAGTGATGAACAGAGTAAATGAAATGAAAAATACACTAGAGGGTATCAACAATACATCAGAGGATACAGAAGAACAGATCAGCAGTTTGAAAGACAAGAGTAATGGAAAGGACTGAAGCTGAACAGCAGAAAGAAAAAAGAATAAAAAGAAATGAGTATAGGTTAAGGAAGCCCTGGGACATCAAATGTCCTAATATTTCCATTACAAGAGTCCCAGAAAGAAAAGAGAGAGAGAAAGGGGCTGAGAATTTCCCTAACCTAGGGAAGGAAAGAGACATCCAGGTCCAGGAGGAACAGAGAGCCCCAAATAAAATGAACTCAAGGAGACCCACACCAAGACACATAATAATTAAAATGTCAAAGACAAAGAAGTTTAAAAGCAGTGAGAGAAAACAAGTTACCTACATGGAAACTCCATAAGGCTATCAGCTGATTTTTCTTCAGGAACTAGAGGACAGAAGGGAGTGACATAATATGTGCAAAGTGCTGAAAGATAGAGACCTATAACCAAAAACTTTTTATTATTAAAAAAAAGTCATTGTAAAAACAGATAGCAAAGATAGTAGACCAATCATTTAAAAGCTAGTGTAACAGTTAAATGACAAAAGTGGTAAAATCTACTAAAAATTAGTTAAGTAAATCACTAAAAAAAAACCATTAAAGAAGACATCATATTATTAAAACATACAGAAGGGGGGAGTTAAATGTAGTACTGTTGGAATGCATTCAAACTTAAACACTGTCAACTTAATAGACTGCAATATATGTAAGATGTCATATATAAACTCCATGTGAACACAAACCAAAAACCTATAATAGAAAGATACACAAAAAATAAAGAGAAATGGACCCAACTATAATACCAAAGAAAGTCATCATGCACAGGGAGGACAGCAAGAGAAGGACCAGAGAAGAATGACGAAAATAACCAGAAAACATTTAACAAAACCACAGTAAGTACATACCTTGAATAATTACTTCAAATGTAAATGGATGAGATGCTCCAATCAAAAGACATAGGGTGACTGAATGGGTAAAAAAAGCAAGACCCATCTATATGCTGCATACAAGAGATTTGCTTCAGATCTAAAGACACACACAGACTGAGACTGAAGGAATGGGAAAAATTATTCCATGTAAATAGAAATAAAAGAAAAGCTGGTGTAATAGTACTTATATCAGACAAAATCAACTTTGAAATAAAGACTGTAAAAAAGAGACAAAGAAGGACAGTATATGATTAAGGGCTTCATCCAGCAAGAAGATATAATAATTGTACATATCTATGTGCCCAATAGAGGAGCACCGAAATACATAAAGCAAATATTAACAGGAATGAAGGGAGAAACTGACAATAATACAGTAATAGTAGGGGACTTTAAGACCCTACTTACACCAATGGATAGATCATCCAGACAGAAAATCAATTAGGAAACATGGCTTTGAATGACACATTAGACCAAATAGACCTAATAGATATATACAGAACATTACATCCCAAACCAGCAGAATACTCATTCTTTTCAAGTGTACATGGAACATTCTCCAGGATAGGCCACATGTTA